CCAGGGCCCATCCTGAACCAGGGCCCATCCTGAGCCAGGACCCATCCTTAACCAGGGCCCATCCTTAACCAGGGCCCATCCTTAACCAGGGCCCATCCTGAGCCAGGGCCTTCTCCACATGCGTGACCTGTGATTCAGACTCCAGGCCGGAAGAGCCTCGGGTCACATGGCACCAGTGGAGAGAGCAGGCTCCAGGCCCCTGCAGGCTGACCCCGGTGGGACCCCGGTGGGTGGCCATGCTTCTCTGCGCCTTGGTTTTCTATCCTGTAAATTGGTCATTAGAGTGTCGCGGTCAATGTCCTCACTGGACCACAAGGAGGGTGCGGATAAAGCCCAAGGCCAGGCCCCCGGCACACCCTGACCCAGGGAGGCCCTTCCCCAGCCTGCCGGAGTGTCCTCAGCACCTTTCCCATTTCAGACACCAAAGCCAGCCGAGGGGAGGGGCTTCCCCAGGTCGCAGCAGGGTAGAGGCTGAGCAGGGAGCCCGGGGTCCAGCCACCTGCCACCTGCCAGGGGCTGATTTAGGAGCCCAGCATCACAGAGCCTGGAGCCCTTCCCGCGGTGTCCTGGAACCAGCCGGCCTGCAGGGAGCCTGGCCATTCCCCTCCCTGCCCTGACCCCCTCCTGTCCCCTGCCCTGCAGACCTGGGACGAAGAGCTCGAGAGGTCAGCGGCGGCCTGGGCGGAGGAGTGCCTCTGGGAGCACGGCCCCACCAACCTGCTGGTGTCCATCGGGCAGAACCTGGCCGTGCACTGGGGCAGGTGAGTGCTGTGGGTCCCCCAGGCTGCCACGGTCCCCCTACCTCCTGCCACCACTGCAGGTGCCCACCCCGAGTAGGCTTGGCACTACTGCCCGTCCTCGAATTCAGCCCAGAGTGGGGAGAGGGAGGGGGGAGGGGGAGAGGGAGGGGGAGAGGGAAGATGTCCTTTGACCGCAGGCTGGACGGGTGTTGGTGACCAGCAGAGACTCGACCAGCTTGGCCCTGAGTCCCCAGTTCTCTCGGGCACAGCGGCCACTCTCCAGGGCCCGGGTCTGCTTCTTCCCTGCCCTGGTCATTGAAAAGCTGGGCTGGGACCGAGATGGCCTGTCCAACAGGTCAGGGCTCGCTGTCACTTTGAACAGAACCACTTCATGGCCTGGCCTTTCCTGTGGCCACGGGCAGCATGTTGTCCTCTAGGTCGGTGACAAACCTGGGCACTCAGGACGGCCCCGGGGGTTCGTGGTGGGAGAAGGAGCGCTGCCTTCAGTGGGTGCTGCTTTCTGTGAGCGCGGCCTTCTGCTGGCCCCACGGACGGTCTGAGGTGGGAGACCTGAATTCCACCCTTGGTCTCTGGCCCCTCCGTGGCGCCTGCGGGTGCTGAGCCGCGTTCCCTGGCTGCACCTGGAGCCCAGGGTGCGCGTCCTTCCCCCCCTCCTGCTTCACCTCGCGGGCCCCGGGTCCTGCCTGGCGAGGCGGCAGCTCACGGCTGCACCTCACCTTTGCTCTTACAGCTTTGTCTTGGGTTTGGTTTTGGGGCTCCCCTGCGTCAGCTCTGGGGCCACCGAGGAGCAGGGTTGATGGTCAGGGACCCAGGGCTTCCCCACGCACCTCCCTCACTTGTTTCCCCAAGGGCCGCTCAGCCTGTGGCCCTGTGCTGGCCGAGCGTCCCCCTCCAAACCGCCCAGCATGACTGCACACGTGTCCTCGGCCTGCGAGAGGTGGACATGGAGAACCTTGTGTTGGAGGCTTCCTCCTGTGAGCCTGAATGTCCCCKAGCTGGCCCCAGGACCAGACGAGAGAGGCTGTTCCTGGGCCCTGGCTGACCGCGACCCTTGGCTCTGGGTACAAGCAGTAATTGTTACAAGACCTCAACTGCCTTGCTGACCGCATGGCCTTGACAGATGGCCACTCCCCCGGAGCTTTTTCTCCTTATTGAAACCACTGTGTTTACACTTGCTGGTAACGATGACCGTGGATTTGAATCCAGTTTTCTTTCCTGGTTAAAACAAAGCGAAAGAGAACAGGGCCAAGCTGGTGGGTGGGCAGCAGCCACAGAGCCAGTTCCCCGGGGAGGACAGCTTGGGGACAGGTGGTGCCTGGCCCTCCCCGTAGGGGTGCAGGAGGATCCGTGAGGGTGCGGCCCTAGACCACTGGCTTCTCGCCTTCGCCCTCCCTCTCACCTGGGAGGCCCACATGCCTGGGTGCGTCTGTCCAGTGAGCTTCTGCCCCGAGTCCTCGGGCACCCTGCAGCGAGGTCCTGAGGGGGACAAGCACGAGGCCTTGGGTTCCTCCCTGAGGGGCAGCAGGGACCCCTCTGCCTGGTCCCCCGTAGCCGGGAAGGTCCCCACTTTCAGACTCCTCTGCCCAGTGGTGTCCCGTCTGAGGGTGGCCGCCTTAGGTCTTCCTTCTCAGTGGTCTCAGGTCTGAAATCCCGTCTTTCTTAAGCCATAGAATCTCGTGGGCGGCGTGTACGGTCCCTAGTGTCTGTGAAAACAACGCACAGTGGACATCAAAGGGACCCGCGGGGCCAGAGAAGGGTCTCCGGCACACACAGGGGCCACCTTTAAAGCCCCCCCGCCAGCGTCCTCCAGTGGCAGTGCTCCAGCTCTGGGTCCTCCTGGGCTGTGGGCTGTGGCCAGAACGCAAGCGCCCTCTCTGCCCGCAGGTACCGCTCTCCGGGCTTCCACGTGCAGTCCTGGTACGACGAGGTGAAGGACTACACCTACCCCTACCCCCACGAGTGCAACCCCTGGTGTCCCGAGAGGTGCTCGGGGGCCATGTGCACCCACTACACGCAGGTAACTCGGGACCCRCCACCACCTCCGCCCGCACCCCAGACCCAGGCTTTCCCCGTCCCTCTGGGACTGAGGCCAGAGCTGGAGCATCTCTGTGCTGTCACCGCCTCAGAGCTCCCTCAGTGGTGCCACTCGGAGTGCCGCTGGGGGACTGAGCTCTTTGTCCCCAGCTCACAGCAAGGCCAGGACCGGGCCAGCACCGGGCCAGCACCGGGCCAGCACCCGAAGCTTCTGAGGCTGTGGCACGTTGCTGGGGATTTTCCCTCTGTGTGAATAGTGGGGCTTTTTCGTCTTTTATTTATTTTTTTAAAGAGCTCTGCGCCCGGGGGTCAGGGAGACCCTGGCCCCTCTGCTCTCCACGGCCAGCTCCTCCCCCAGCCCAGGAGGCGCGCCTTGTGCCTGGGCCGTGACGCTGCTCTGTCTTTGCAGATGGTCTGGGCCACCACCACCAAGATCGGCTGTGCCGTCAACACCTGCCGCAGGATGAGCGTGTGGGGCGACATCTGGGAGAACGCCGTCTACCTCGTCTGCAACTACTCTCCAAAGTGAGTGTCTGCCGCGGGTCCCCCCTGGGTCCTGCCTGGGTCCCCACTACAACTGGCTTCACCAGCGAAGACTCTCAGCTGTTTCTCGTAGTGAGGGTCTAGGAGTGGGGTGAGGGTCTAGGAGTGGGTTAGGGTCATCTTAGCAGCTCAGCAGTGTCGGGGGGACTCCAGCCCTTTCAGTCTGTGCCTTCCTTGCCTTGTGACCCCAAGGTGGCTGCAGACCACCTGCATCCTGTCTTCCCAAGCAGAAGGAAGTAGGATGGTAGGAGAGGGCTCCCCTGGGGCACTTCTCCAGAACTAGACCAATCAGAGACAAAGGGCAGGTGGTTCCCGGTTGGCATTGGTCAAGGAGGTTGCCCTGGTGGCTGCCCAAGTCATGCCCTGGGGTCACTGCAGCACACAGAGGCAGGGGTGGCTGTGGTCTGGGCGGCAAGAGGGTCTGCCAGGTGCTGTTGCTGCTCTTCTCTGAAGGTGTGCCCAGCTTCACGCTGGACGTGACTTGCCGTCCTCGTTCTGTTGTCCTGCCTAAGGGACCACAGGACGTCAGTGGGGCCCCTCCTCGGGGGACCTGTCATCGTGTCACTCAGCCCTGATTCATTCACCCCGTGGCTCACTGCACAAATATGTGCTGACCCTGGAGCTTCTGTCCCCGTGTGAGCCCGTGGTCTGCCTGCCGGTCACTCTGCTGGCCGCTGGCCTCGCAGGGCACGCTGCAGAGGGGCCCTCACGGCATATTTGCCCAGTGACTGAATGAGACGGGAATGACCTCATCTGCTTGGGTTGGGTCGGGATTGGCCCTGGGAGGTAGGAGATGGGGAATCACCAAGGCCGGGAGGAAGCCAGCTCTGCAGATGCCATCAGGCAGGGTGACGTCACAGCCAGGAGGCTCCATAGCCCACGGAGCACCGTCACTGCCCCCGGGGCGGGGGGCCACTGGATTGACTCTTCTTTTTGTGAAACACACCCTGGACGGTGAAGTCAGAACGGAGTCCCCTTAGCACCCGCCTTGCTCGGGAAGCCACGTGCAGGACGAGCTGCCCGAGGAGCCTGTGGCCAGGGGCAGCTCCACTGCGGGCTCCTCGCTCCCTGCTGGGACCCAGGAGCTGCAGGTCAAGCCCCGGCCCCGCGGGGTTCTGGCCAGGCCGCCTCCTGGCTGGCCGCCTCCTGGCGGGTACTCCYCGGGCAGCGAGGGCGTGAGCCCCCTGGCTGTCTCTGGAAGGACACTCACGGGTGCACCAGGACTCACCTGGTGGCCTCGGCAGTGTCCTTCCCTCCTGAGCAGGCCACACGGGTGTAGGGCTTCAATGCACGGGTCCTGGGGACGAGCGTGGACACGTCCACATACACCCACACACGCGCTTGTGCTCGCACACACCTGCTGTCCCAGCAGCACCCGCGTTGGTGACAGCGCCACAGAGTCTGGTTGGGACCCCGCAGCAGGGGCTGTGTGTGGGCTCTGGGTGTCCAGCACCTTCTGCCGGGCATCGCCTCTGTGAGAGGCACCTGTGGTGTGTGTGCTTACTGTGGCCACGTGAGGGTCAGCTCTGTCCACGGCTCTGTCCTAAGGAGAGAACCCGAGACCCTGGGCTGGGCCGGGCACTGTCCCTGACACCAGGGTGGACACTGGCCAAGAGGGTGGGCTCAGGAGTGGTACAGGGTCCATGCTGTGGTGGCCTCATGCGTGAGGAGGACGGAGGCAGCACCCAGCCTCCCCCAGCCGTGGAGCCCCCCTCCCCTGCCACCCCTCCGCCACCGCCCCAGGTTCAAGGCCACAGAGGGGCACGTGCTCCACAGAGCTGTTTCCGCAGTTGGTCCTCTGGCCAGTACCAGCAGGCCCCCACCTCCCTGGAAAGCTGTGGGAGAGCCGGGGCGGGCTTCTGGTTTACCAACCCTCCGGAGCACCTAGGGCTTCCGACTGGCCGCCTGCTGAGGCCTCACCACGGCCCACTCTCAGGAGCCGAGGGGGGTGGGTCCCTCTGCTGGAGGCCTGGCGTCCACCCGGGGCCCAGGCTTCACTCAGGGCTGAGGAGGCAGGACCAGGTGCCGGGTGGAAGGTTCTGTGGGGTTTCGGAATGCTCTAGTCAGCCCTGGAGGACCTGGTGGCTGCCTGTCCCTGGCACACACCCTCCCCCCGACTTGGTGGGACTGTGTTCGGGGTCCCCGGGGGGTCTGGGAGTCGCATCTCCAAGCCCCGAGGCCCTCCTGACGGTGTTCCTGGTCTCCTCCAGGGGGAACTGGATCGGAGAAGCCCCCTACAAGAGCGGCCGGCCCTGCTCCGAGTGCCCGCCCAGCTACGGAGGCAGCTGCAGAAACAACCTGTGCTACCGAGGTAGGAGCAGGGGACAGCCCCGAGTGACAGGGACCTCCTGACCCCAGTCACAGACGGCCTGATGCCAAGCAGGGAACCAGACCCCCACCTGGGGGTCCTGCTCGCCCCCGAGCCTCTCTCCTCCCGCGGCCGAAGCTGGAGCACCAAGGCCCGAGCCCTCCCGCTGTTCCCGTGCGCGTCGGCGGGGCCTGCGGTGTCCCCACACCCTCTGCTGCTGTGCGTGGCCACCCACTGCCGTCCCTGCCCTTCCCTGGGCTTCCAGGGCCATGTCCCAGGAAGGGCCAAATGGGCCCTGGCCGCTGAGGCTCGTGCGGCACCGTCAGCAGTGACCGTGGGCCGTGCAGGAGGAAGGTGGCTCTGCGTCCGGGGAGGTGGGCAGGCGGAGTAGCCCTCTTGGCAGGGAGACCCGGGGTYGGTCGGGGCTCTGGCAGGGAGGAGAGGAGGGTGAGAGGGAGGTTGCAGGGACCCGGGCACTCTGCTGCCCAGCAGCTGTGTACAGCTGACTGTTCCTGTGGGGAGGAGGGACCGGCCTCCTGCAGTCTGCTCYGAGGAGCCCCCTCCCGCCAGCCCCTGGCTGTGCACCTGCTGCAGCTGTTCCTGAGAAACGGCTGGGGTGGCCTCCTGCTGGGAGCCGCAGTGCACCTGCCCCTTGTGCTCATGACCCCAGCTCCCCGTGAGCCCTGCCCTGCTAGACCTGCCGGGCACTCAGGCCGCCGGGGCACGTGGCCTGTGTGTCCTGCATGGTTTTTGGTTAAATATGCCCCCAGTTTCCACAGAGACTCACTTTCAAAGGACAGACGCACACAGAGACCTTAGATGCCAGTTTACCCACGAAACGATGCCCCGTGTACACATTTCTTTATTTTTGGTGGAAAACGCCCAACTCCTCTTGGCAGGCCTCCCCGTCTCCTCGGCCAGCCAGGCAAAGTCCCCCGAGAGCCGCTTACCTGCATAAGCTACTTAATAAGTGCACGTCGCAGGTGCCGGGCAGGGCCCTGACCCGTAATGGAGATACRGGGGCTTAGGGATAAGGAGAGAAAAGAGAAGCTGGCTTCCCTCCAGCCCCCCGGGTGGGACGGGAGGTCAGGGAGTGGAGCTGGATGCCTGCCGGACACTTTCCAGCTGTGTGAGCTTGGGAAGGTCGCTTCCCCTCTCTGAGCCCAGTCTCCTGTGGTGGGGCTGATGGTGTCTCTAAGGGAACAAGGGGAAGTGGGGAGATGCCGGGACCCACGCTGCCCCGGGTCACGTGAGCTCTGTGCTCTGTTGTAACCGCAGGGCCAGGCAGAGTCTGCAGGGGATGTAAGTGACGCTCTGGGCCCCAGGACTCCCAGCCTGGAGCGCGATCTTGGGACGTGACCTGGAGGTGGACGGGGCAGGAATTTCCCCAGCCCCAGGTGGGTCCTCACAGGGATCCTCATTGGGATGTGCCCAGCTGCAGCYGCCCGGGGAGCAGCCCCTTTTCCTGTCTGCCCGGTCCTGCAATGGGCACCCTCCAACGCTCTGGACGCCTCACCAGGCTAGATCCTGCTAAATAAAGCCACGATTATGAGGTGTAAGATCCCGAAGGCCAGTGGAAGAAACCCAGCTCACTGCCGAGCAGCTCTGGCCTCAGGAAAGGGCAGCCCTGAATAGCCACATTGACGGCGCAGGGGACAGGAGGGGCAGTGGGCCGGGCGTGTTCGCCAGCCGTGTCTGCGGAGCTGCTCCTCCAGCGCCCTGCACGGGCGCCCGGCGGTCCCTTCCTTGGGTRTCCTTGACTGGGTGGCCAGGCCTCYTTTTGTTTTGGGTGACAGYCCTCCCTCGGTGAGCTCTGTYGAGTGGCTCCTAGTGCGGGGGCTGGTTAGTGTGGCCTGGGCAGCAGGCGGCCGAGGGTGAACCAGCAGAGCATGAGAAAGGATGGGGCCCCCCTTTCCTCCTGGCTCCCCCACCCAGGCTCCTCTGGAGTGCTGGCTGGGTGGGGTGGTGGGCGGTGAGTTAGCCAGGAACAGCGTGGAGGCCGGGCCTGGAACAGCGCTTGAGGGTGCTCAGCTGCTGGACCTTTGGATTGTGTGCACAGAAACCCCTGCTCTGCCCTCTGGCAGAGAGCTCGTGGTTGGAAGGCGGGAGGCCTGCGAGGGGCTTCACTGCTCCTTCAGTCCTCTCACCCAACGCCCGGCGATGGCCTCTGACAGGGTGGCTGGACTGGCGGCCTCTGGACCTTGCTGGRAGCCGCAGGTGCTCGGTGGAAACCCGACTTAGAACTCTGCGTTTTGATCTTCTCCGGGCCGAGACGCGTGGCCAGCGCTCTCCATGCTGGGCCGTGGCAGTTCATGTTTTAAGTACTTCTCGGGGGGTGACCACCTTGTAAGCTGAGGAGCGTCTGTATTGTCCCTTTCACTTGAGGAGCTTGGGAGGCAGGGGACCCCAGGTCTCGGAGGACAGGAGGTGCAGGCTGTGGATGACGGGGGAGAGGGGCCCCTGGCAGAGCCGCACATCTGCTCACCCTTGATAAGGTCCCGGGGCCACAGGTTGGCTCTCACTTCTTGGCTTTGGCTGGGCTTAGCTTGGTGTCCTGGTGGGCCAGCAGCTCAGGACTGTCCATGGTGACGAAAATGAAAGTGGACYGATATTTAATAAGTGCAACTTGTTTATTTAACTAAAAGATTTTAGAACTTGGGGGTCGTGGTTGGGGAAATGTGACACACATGCCCTTTGTGGGGAAGGRTTGGGACCGATAGCAGAGTCAGGTTTTGGACGGTCGTGGGTGATGAGCCCGGAGCTGTGACACAGTCACTCCCCAGGGCACAGAGGGCAYAGGTGGCTGGCCGGAGGTGCAGCTGGGGTCCCAGAGCATCCACCTGGGTCTGTGACCCCTCCCCCAATGAAAGGGCAGAGGGGCCTCGGGGAAGGCGGGGGCTTTGGGCAGTGACCAGGGACGCTCCTTGAAGCTGCCTTCTTGGACAGCTGTCATGGGCAGCAGATGGACGACAGCTCTGTTGGACAGGCGTCCTCCCTGCCCTTGGGTCCATGGCAATCGTGGGTGGTGGGAAGAGCCAGCTCCTGGCTGGTGGGGTGCCGGCGGCTGGGTCTGTCCCCGATGGAACCTTCTCTCTGCTGCCGAAATGACTTCTGAGGCACTGACCCCCCAACAAGTTCCGTCTTCAAATTGCCCCCCCAAGTCCTTTTGCTGACTCCCGGTGTGTGCTCTCCCCCTCGCCCCCGCCCAGAGGAGACCTACGGCCAGAAACCCGAGACGGACGACATGAACGAGGTGGAAACGGCCCCCGTCCCTGACGAGAAGCACGTCTGGGTCCAGCCGAGGGTGGTCAGACCCACGAAGCCCAAGAAAACCCCCRCGGTCAAATACATGAGTGAGTCCTGGTCCCCGCCTCCTGCTCACCAAGCCACCTGGGTGACCTGAGGGGAGCTGGGCGGGGCCCGCAGGGGGCAGGCGGCAGCAGAAAGGGGTGCYCGGCTGGCCAGAGTAGACCGCTCCCCAGGTCCTTCCTGGGAGACCTGGACGAGATGGGTCCCCCCTGGGGCAGCTGGCCTGTCAACGGGAATGCAGCCCCTACCACGTCCAGGGGCTCAGGCACCACGTCCAGGGGCTCGGGCACCTCCCGCCACCCCTTTGCAGGGTTCCAGCTCTGGGCCAGGTGACCCTTTGCTTTTTCTGGCTCTGTGCTCCTCCGTGGAGTGGGGAGACCATGCCCAGCGCRGGGCAGTCCTGGGGGTTATTGGCTGTGATGGGACCGCCCAGTGTCCCCACTCTAGACCACCATGAGCGCCCCCAGTATCCCTGGTGGGCGGGAGGCCAAGTGCTTCTCCCAGGACCAGGAAGCCCAGCAGTGTCCCCTGCTCACCTCTTGCTCTCTGATGGCTGAGCACCCCYGGAGCTTTGGGCTTGGCTGGAGCTTGGCCCCCAGGGGCAGCCTGGCTGAGGGCCGGGCACTTCCTCGGCCAGGATGGCCCCGGGTGAGTGCTGTGGCTCGTTCCCCCCAAGGACCAAGAAACACAAAGCTGGACTCACTGTGAGGGCACCCTGACCCTGCACCCTGCTTGCCCTGGAGACCCTTCCTGCCTTTTCAGCACCTCTGTCCTCCTGGCCCCGTCCATCCTTCTCTCCTCCCCTGCCTTCAAGCCTCTCCCGGCAGGTGACTCTTCTGCAGCTCATTTTGACCAGGATGCTGGTCCCTTGTCTCTCTGAAGTGGTGGCAGTTTTAATCATAAGGAATCATGATATAGCCAGGGCCTCTCCAGCCACCCCACTCTGGACCCTGATGCATCCCTGTAAACCACGCCACGGGAGCTCGGCACAGCTCCCTTGACCATGGGGAGGCGGCCATGTCCGGACCTGGGCTGGGACAAGGACCCTGTCCTTGTGGGTCCTGCCGCCAGAACCTGGCGGGGCTGCGGGGCACCAGTGGTCCCAGGCTGCTTCCGGACCACGCCTGCTCACCCTTTAGTGCTCACAGGGCCTTTCAAGTGGGTGCCATAATTATCCCCATGTGGAGCTGGGACCTCAGAGGGTGAGCGACACCCAGGGTCACACCACAGTGACAAGCAGCAGGTCTGGGACTGAGCCCCYGAGGTCACAGCTGCCAGGCATTGCTCTTCTCTTGTATGGCTTGGCTCCAGAATGTTCCAGAATGGCCTGCGGGGAGGCTTTCTAGCTCGCACTCACCCTCCTGGCTTCTTGCTGTGACGGATACCTCCCCGTTTCTCTCCTAGCCCAGATCATCCGCTGTGACACCAAGATGAAGGACAAGTGCAAGGGGTCTACGTGCAACCGGTGAGTCTGGCTGACCTGCCCCTCAGAACCCCTGGTCCTCACAGATGGGCTCATTGCACCTGGGCCGGGTGCGTGGAAACCCGTGGACACTGGCCGTTGGTCAGCTTGGAGTCACTGTGACCACATGCCTGACAAGAACAGCTCAGAGGAGGAGCCGTAGGTGGTGGCTCACAGTGTCAGAGGGTCAGTCCACGGTCAGCCTCCCCATCGCTTGGGGTCCGAGAAGGGCGTGGGGGAAGAGCGCCGTCCATCCCGGGCAGCCAGCAAGCAGGGAAGGGAATGGGCTGCAGGGCAGTTGCGCCCCTCCAGGGCCCACCCCAGTGACCACCTTCTCAGCCACGCCTGCCTGCTGACAGTGACCGTCCAGAGAGTCCAGTCACACTGGGTGGGCTGACAGTCCTGCCATTTCCCCTCCTTCCAACCCTGCCTGGACACGGGCGCTCTGGGGACACCTCACTCCACCCCCAATTCCCTACGGCTCTGAGGCTGGGCCCAGCGAGCCAGGAGCAGGCCCGGGTCAGGCGTGCCCTGGCCATGGCACCCCGCCTTTTCTCTGACTTCCCCCAGTGCCCCAGAGCTTGGCTCCCGGGGCTGTTCCTGTCGACACAGGCAGGGCCCGGGCTGCACTCTCCTGGCACTGGGGCCGGTGACAGTTCCCTGGCCTCTACCCAGCAGGTGCCAGTAGCAAGCTGCCCAAGGGGTGACCACCAAATGTCTCCAGGGACTGCAAATGTCCCTGAGGGGTGACACTATGAATGTGCTCCGTGCCCAGGTTTCCAGGGACCGGGTTAGGGCCAGCTCTCAGTGTCGAAGTACGTAACAAGCTGTCCCTGCCAGAGGAGCCTGGCACCCGCACCACCAGGATCTCCCAGGGGACTTTCAGAAGGGACTCGTCCCAGAGGCCGCTGCCCGTGACGCTGACTTTGCCTGAGAGGGCTCGGCCTCTCCAGGGCCTGTGGGTTCCCAGAGCATTTCCCAAGCTCCCTGGGAAATTCTGACGTGTGGCTGGTGTTGTGAACCCCAAATGGCACGGTTGTCCCAAACCCGAGAGCCTGGTGGGTCGCCCTGACCGTGACCCCCTGGAGCCGGGACCAGGAGGGTCTTCCAGCTGCCCGCGGATAAGCCGCTTAGGGCCTGCAGAGGTCCGCTCAGTCTTAGCTGAAAGGGGGTCAGTGCCAGGCTGGGGCGGGGGCCAAGCAGAGGGGACTTGAGAACACAAGAGTGACCTCRGTGGCCCTGATGCCAACCACAGAGTGAAGCCCTTCACCGGGACACTGTCCGCCACGCCCCTGGGAAATGAGTGGGTTCCTGGCCCCAGAGCCCCAGAGCAGCTGATCAGCGGGTCCCAGTCTGCCAGGGACTTCTCCGGGTTTTAGTGGGAAAGGTCCTGGGAGACCCAGGACCCTCGGGAGGCGTGGTCACTTAGCTGGGAACATGACTCGGCAGACTTTCTAACGCAGCGGGGGTGGGGTGCGGTGGGAATGAGGTGGCTTCACAGAACCTAAGGGCACTCGAGGCTTCTCCGTGTCCGTGGAGCTCCCTCTATCCGCGGGTCTCCCTCGATGTCCGTGTCTGTTCAGCCGGTCAAGGCGGGACACGCCAGCAGGCTGGACACGCCAGCAGGTGCCCGCACGTGGTCAGCAGGAGTGGCTGCGTCCCAGGGACCCTCAGAATTTTCCAAAGTCCAGAAATACCCCTCAAACACTTCCTTGTGAGTGGCTGCAGGACACGCTGGCATTCGGCTACACAACCATGTTGGGCCACTTCAGGTCRCCTGCGGCTTCTCCCCGTCTCCATGGTGACAGCTGGCCTGGGTGTGGGGCTGACCGTGGGACTTGTTGCTTGGGATGTGGACTTGGAGGGAAATTCCGGGGCCCAGGGAGTGGACGTGGAGGCGTACTGTGCTTGTGTGGTCCCAGGAAGGACCCAGGCCTCCCGGGCGAGGCAGGGTCCACCGCTGAGCTACACGTCCTGGGCCCCCTCCCCGCTTTTTCTGAGACAGGGTCTCCTTAAGTGGCCCAGGCTGGCCCCAAACCGGCAGGCCCCTGCCTCAGCCTCTGGGGTGCTGGGATCACAGGCGTGGCCCCGTGCCCGGAGTCTGTGGGCGGGTCTGGGGGTCACGAACAGAGCAGCTTCTCTGAGGTTCCCCTGACCAGGTGCCCTGGTGAGCGACAGCCAGAAAACGGCCTTCATCACCTGCACGTCCTGGGGGACACTCAGGGCTTCTGGTGCGTGTGAAGTCACTGGCCTTTCTCCTGTGACTCGTCTCCCTGAGTGTGTGACTGTCATCAAGACCACAGTGTGTGACTGTGAGCCCGCCCGGGCCCTGGTGAACTGTGAGAGRCGCCCTCTGATCGCCATTTCTTTCTTCAGGTACCAGTGCCCAGGAGGCTGCCTGAGCCACAAGGCAAAGATCTTCGGGTCCGTGTTCTATGAGAGCGTAAGTGTGGTCGGTGTTGCCGTGGGCATTCGGCTGGACGCTAGCTGCCGTGTGTTTTTAAAGAGGTGGTGGCTTTGTAGCAGAGGGCTTCCTTTCCACCCCTGGGTCACACCTGGAGGGTCTGGCACTGACCAGGGCTCGGGGGCTCCCAGCCTGTCGGAGCCACCTGTGGGGACGGGGGCTGGTCCTCACGGGGCCGTCTCCGCGTCAGACCCCGAGTTAGCATGCTCCGCTGAGTGGGGAGAAAGGGCTCTTGTCACCGTCCTGAGCTGGTAAAGCCACTCGGATGGGATCTTCCAGATAAGCCAGCCCCGGAACAAAGATCTGGTTACGGAGAGGGGACGGTCGGGGTGGGGGAGCCTGGGCCCTGCGTTTTGGCTTTCAGGGGTTTAAGGACCAACCTCTTGGGTGTTTCYAACAAAGATTAATTCAGACTGTACCTGTGGCCTCCTCCCCGCCCCCTCCAGTCGTCCAGCATTTGCCGGGCCGCCCTCCACGCCGGAGTCCTGGACGGCAAAGGAGGCCTGGTGGACATCACCAGGAACGGGCAGGCTCCCTTCTTCGTCAAGTCTCAGAAACACGGCGTGGAGTCGCTGAGGTAACTSTTGTGTCTGTGCCCGGGGCTCCTTCAAACAGCCTCTCCTCTTCCGAGGGTCCCTCTGGCTCCTGCCTGGGCTGGGCAGGCCCGCCACCACCTGGCGGGGTGAATCACAGCGCCCGCCCCACCGGCGTCCACCTGCAGTGGAGTGTGTCCTTCCTGATGTTGGGCACAGCCTCCATGCAGCACCCCTGGGAGGTGACGTCCCTGCTGGTGGAACCAGTCRCTGCAGACCTCTGAAGCACTGTCCCTCCAGTGGTTACCCAGGGAGGACGGGCACCAGGGGTCCATCCCTGACCCCGCTCGGCTGTGCATTAACGAAGAAGCACAGTATTCAGTCATCGCCTCMTAACAGCCAGCTCCTTTGTGGTGTTTGGGATGTATCTTCGCATCTTAAAACCGTGGTCTGAGAGTCTGTAGGTCTCACTGGGTTTCCAGAGGAGTCTTGTACAAAAAGGTTAAGCGGCCCTGCTCTAGCACATTCTGAGAGCTGGAACTTGGGAAGGCCGAGCTGGCGGCCGCAGGAGGAGCCCGAGGCGTGTTCCGCTCCCTGACCTGACGTTCTCTCTTCCAGCAAATACAAGCCCTCCAGCTCGTTCATGGTGTCCAAAGTGACAGGTGAGCCGCGGTCACTTAGGGGTTCTGTGTGTGGGTGACCTCTGCCCCCTGCCAGCTTTACTCCTGGGGTCTCTGCCCTCTCCTCCCTCCGTCACGCCCGCCAGCACCTTGGTCCCAGTGTCAGGAGGGTCGTTTCCAGAGGCCCCTGAGAGGTCCTGTCTTTGATTGGCTTCTCAACGTAACTGGACTCGAAACTGGCCCTGGATGGCAGAGTCAAAAGCAGGGCTGTGCTGTCCTGTTGGATGTCACAGGAGTGCTGGTGCCTGGGGCTGCAGTTACGGATGGGAGTGGCAGTGGCCACCTGGAGCCCTGGGTTGAGGAGGATGCTGAGCCTCGCCTGGCATTCAGCAGGAAGCAGAGCGTAGTGGTCAGTAGGCCTGCCTGGACGAGGAGGGAGACTTGCCGTCCCTGCAGACGGCTCGTCTTGCTCTGGGGCTTCCTTTGGTAACGTGGGAGGTGGCTCCAGCCGGTGATGGAGGGTGTGACCGAGGGTGGTCCCAGTGGGCCCTGCCTGGGCCCCTCGCGGCAGGCAGTGCAGGGCTCCGTCCAGCGCCCTCCCTGGACTTGCCCACCCCTCTTGYCCTGTGGGAAAGCAACTCTTGTCATTTGCCCCAGAGGCAAGAATTGTTAGTGGCCTTTATAAAAACGTTGTCACAGAGCTTTCCTTAGGACAGAAACGATGTTTGCGTATCCACCTAATTAAAGATACCGTGGAGCCTTTAAAATGTTTTTGAAAAGCTAGCTTGACCTACATTCTCCTGGTTAGTGGTGACCACATCCTTTGGGTGGTGTCCCAGTTTATTTTTCCCGTCTTTCAAAAGCGTATACATCGGTAACTTTTAAAATTTAAAAGGGATTAGCTTACAAATTGATTTTTTTCCTTTAATAATTGTGGCTCAGGAATGCATTTCCATGCCTGTATATAGTCTTCTAAACCCAATTTTAATGTCCCCACCCCACCCCGCGCCCCAGCATCCCGCGGAATAGAAGTCCCTGTGGTGCGGAGCCAGGTCCTTTATTGGGCAGCTGCAGAAACCCGGGGCCCGTCCAAATGACCGACGGGGCCGGGCTGGCAAACTGGCCTGTGGGCCGGGTCTGTCTGCCTCCTGATCGTGGATGGAGCCTCAGTACCCCCGGCCAGGCCTCCCACTCACACGTCACCAACAGGGACCTGCTGCTCCAGCAGCGCCCCGCGGTCTTGATGTGACATTAGGCCACAGTGAAAGTGTCCATGCTCTGAGCCTTTAAGAAAGAAGTTGTCCAGCCCTGGCCTGGGGAGGCCACGGTCAGGGACCCCAGGAGGCTGGTGTCAGAGCTGTCCTCGCACCACAATGGCCTGAAGGAGAGAGCACTGCCCCCCACCCCCGTGGGGACCTGACCTTTCCCTCTGCCCCACAGTGCAGGACGTGGACTGCTACACCACCGTGGCTCAGCTCTGCCCGTTTGAAAAGCCGGCCTCCCACTGCCCGAGGTGAGGCCCGGGGTGACCACCGTGGGGGGGCGGGGGCTCGGGGCTCAGGCCCTTCTCTGGGGCTGGCATCTGGCTTGTCTACACGGGGTTGAGGAAGACGCCAGGCGGTTGTGCCCGGAATGGGTGATGTCATGGTCCTCCAGGCCTGGCCCTTGGCCGCCGCTCTCTGTGGGGATGCTGCTAAGCTTCCTGTCCAGGCCACCAAAAGCCCTGGATCCTTGCTAGGGTGCCCTAGACAGGGACGTGGAAGTGTCCCCTCAAGGTGGCACTGACTCGGGAGGGAATCCTGTTCCTGGGTAAATGACCATCTCCCTCGAGCGCCACTTGCCATTGTCTCTTAGGTCAGTGCGGAAGCCCTGGAAGCTGCTGTCCTCTGTCCCCTTTGGTTATCTTAGCGCTCTTTGCTCTTGGCCTGGTCTAGTTTGGGCAGACTATTCTAGAGGTAGAAGTAGCTTTTTTTTTTGCATTTTTAGAAATCTGTCCTCTGGTCACACCTGACAGTAGTGTACTTTGACATGTTTGTAAAGACGGGGAGTCCCTCTTATTCTGGTTAGGACCCCAGTCTAGAAGTAGCTTTTTAAAAATGACTTTTATTATGGGCCTCAGTGAAACTGGCCAGTGTAAGTTGACCACCTGGTGTGTCTGAGGGACGTGTGGGGCACAGCCACCAGCACGAGGTGAGGGATGCAGCGCCCTCCAGCGCCCACCCACACCCATGTCCACACCRTGCTGGGGCCAGGCCTCTGGCTCCCCAGGCCCCCTTCTGAGATGCCCCTAAGATGCCTGTGAGTAGACTTAGTGGAATATTAAAGAGAAGCAGAAGGAAATAGTTTCAGAAAAATACGAACAYGAACAAGATCTTGGTAGAGTGAGAGGATCCAAAACGTGGGTTTCTGACCTGCCGTTCCAGGAGGAGTGGGAGAAGAGAGAGAAGTATCAGTCCGTCTACAGCCAAGAATAAAAAAATAAAAGATAAAAGAGAGACAGAGATGGTGACTTTAAAATGATTTAAAAAGAGACCTAAATAGCCCCRGTGCCCAGGGCTGGTTGTGACGTGGTCCCAGCTCTCTTGGGGACAGGCTGTGTGACCTTGCCAAGTAGCTCCCCTCTCTGTGGAGTGGGCCAGAGCTGGGTGGTCCCGTCCAGGAACCTGCAGACCTCGGCCCCGGGACTGGCCCAGATGCTGGTGTCCAGCTGACGTTTCAGGGGGCAAAGCTGCTTCACCCAARCACAAATACAAAGAGCAGCGGCGTCCAGGTCACCAGCTGACTCAGTGGCTCTAAACTCAGAGACCGAGTGGGACTCCATTTTCTTTTTTCCAAATCCCCACTCTCTCCCTGCCTGCCCCTTCCCTGCTTCCTCCAGACCCGTGCTGGTCCCCTGCCTGGCCTTCTTCCCKTCAGGGACCCTGCCACCTTGGGGCCAGGTGGCTCCTGGACGCCATCTTGGTTTCTTGGTCGCTGGGCTCCAGCCTGTGGCAGACTGTTCTGGATGGACACTAAGACCTCTTCCTCAGTCAGGCTCCTGCTGTGGCTGGCTGGAAGCTCTGGGACCCCCGGGAGTCCCGCCCTCCGACCCCTGTCAGGAGTTGGCCTGTGGCAACTGACCCCGCTGCCTGGCTCACCCTGTGACCCACTGAGGTGGGGGCCTCTGCCTCCGTCCCCCAGCAGCGAAGTGGCCTTGGAAAAGGTCTGTGGATGGTCATCCGCACCCACTGTAGGAGCTGGCAACACCCAAGCCTGGGACGACCCCACGGCCCACGGCCCACGGCCCTCGCTCATCTCTCTAGCTCCCTCGTCTGGACGTGCCCTTCTGCCTGGGGTTTTGAAGAGCTGCCTGCGGCCTCTGAGGAGGGCAGGAACACCTTCCCCCGCTGCCCTGGGAGAGGCCTTGTCTTTCTTAAAGAGCAAGATGGCGGGCGGCTTCCTTGCACTCCCCAACTGGAGTCTGGAAATGCAAACAAAGAGCAAGCTCGGRGGGTTCCACCTTCTGCTGATGGTTCCCTTCCACAAACGCCGCTTCTTTTCCAGAGTCCGCTGTCCTGCGCGCTGTAGGGACGAGCCGTCCTACTGGGCCCCCGTGGTTGGCAGCAACGTCTACGCAGATGTGAGTACTCTGGCCTCCTCTGTGGCCTCTGGGGACCTGCTGTGACCTCAGGGTCCCAGGCCTGGACCCAGGACCTGGCAGCTCACTCCAGAGCCCGTAGGGAAATCTGGACTGTCACTTCTCTGAGCACCGTCCCATCTCTGCATCCACGGAGGTGTCCCCACCGCGTCCTGATGCGTGGAAGGGCATGCAGGCCTCACCTCACCCAGGCGGGTGTCAGGGTTTCTGGCCTCATGTGGCCCCTGTCCCCAACGTCCCGTGCTCTCTCCACCCTCGCTGCCTTTCCTTCTGGCTCTGCACACGCTTGGCTCAGAGTGCGCAGGAGAAGACACACGACCCCCCCACTGCCCATGGGGACCCCTGTTCCTGCACCGGAGGCTCCTTGCGGCCTCTCTCCTGACTCCAACAAGGAGGCTGTGCCCTGACTTCTCTCAGTGAATCCTCCAGAGCTTGGCTGCCCCCGGTGCCCAGGGCTGGTTGTGACGTGGTCCCAGCTCTCTTGCGGACAGGCTGTGTGACCTTGCCAAGTAGCTCCCCTCTCTGTGGAGTGGGCCAGAGCTGGGTGGTCYCRTCCAGGAACCTCCAGACCTCGGCCCCGGGACTGGCCCAGATGCTGGTGTCCAGCTGACGTCCCTCGGTGCTCCCTGATGTTTTTGTGGGCACCCCCCCCCATCTTTGCCTCCATCTGCCTTCAATTGTCCCCGATTCCTGTCAGCGTGAAGTCACTCAGCTCCGTGGGGTCAAGGCGACCTTCATGACTAAGCTTTTCTTCCTCCTCGTTTCTCTTTCCTCTTTAAATCAGCTTTTTTCCTTCTCGAAAGCTAAGACCGAGTTCTAAAAGTCAGGTTTCCTGGGAGGGAGCGAGTTCCTGTGGCAATTGTGAAACCAAGTGCTTGGACCCAGCTCTGGTTCGGAGGCGGWGAGGGCCGGGCTGCGTGGCCGGGGYGCCCCCGCSGGWGAGGCGCTGGGTTCCGTCCCCAGCAGTCAGGGAAACTCAGTGAATCAGTAAGAAACAAGTAAATCAACGTCGGTGTCCATCTACCACTAAAAGTATTTTAAAAAGAGAGAGAGATGGTGATTTAAGATGATTTAAAGTGGATGGATGGGCAGAGCTGGTCCCCGTCACCAGCCGGCTCCGTGGGCTTAAACTCATCTACACCGAATGGGACAACGCAGTTCCTGTGTGGTGACAGAGTGCAGTGACGAGATGGAATCTGTACACAGCAGACAACAAACAGCTAAATGTGTGCAGCAAGACGAGGGAGAGATGCCCGGCCGGCGGGCGGCCGTGAGGTGCAGCTGCTTTGTGTCCAACACCTGCGGCCTTAGGCCCCTTAAAACACCCTGCGCAGGTGTCCTCGTCCCCATTCTACAGAGGGGGAAACAGCTCAGGTCACCTTCCCCAGGTGACAGTGAGCACGTGGCCCAGGCTGCTCCACCCGCTGAGCTCACGGCACCCGGTCACGCGGGGGACGGGCGTGTGGCTGGAACCCGAGTGTCCCCTGGAACTGACGTGTCCCCTCGGGTTGGAGCTCTGACASTCAGGCCCCTACGGGGCCGGTCCCGTGATGGCTTGGCTTGTTGGAGGCATGATAAATGGAGGGGCTCAGAGTCTTAACGGAAAGAAAGTCGGGCGGAAAGAAGGACGGGAGGCAGAGGTGGGGGAGCGGCCTCGGTGGCGGAGCCTCGATTCTGGCCTCCATTTCTAGGTCACGCTGGGTTCTGGGAAATGATGGCTTCTGGAAACGTCTGTTTAGCTAAGAGATTTATTTTGGGAGCGCCAGCCCCAGCCCTGCCAGGGCCTCGCAGTGCCCACACTCCTGCCCGTTCCCCTGAAGCGCTGCCCCTGGCCTTGGGTCGAGCTGCGGCAGAGGTGTCCGGGCGTGGCCCAGCGAGYGGASCCTGGGTCCAGGCCGAGCGGCCGGCCTGGCAGACGCTCCCCSGGGTGGGATGCGGGCGAGGCTTCCTGGACCTCCGTTTCCCTGGGTCCTCCCTGCCCGCTGCCTGGGAAGTGCCCCCTGACTGCCTCAGAGCCCTGGGCGCTGCTCGGACAGGTCCCCGGCCCCCTGCAGCCACTCGCCTCRGGGGCCGGGGAGGGGGGCGGGCAGAGACTCGTTGCTAAGGTGTCCCAGGTGGCGTGGCTGCTGCTGGCTGGGGACCACATCCGAGGGTCCCTGAGGCAGATTCCCACCCTGGAGCCCTGGGTGGCCCTGTGGGGTGGTCYTGGACTTTGGGTCCTGTGTCTGTCTCACTAGTGCCACCTCAGGAGACACCTGCCTTCAGCCCTGGTCTTCCGTGTCACGTGGCCACCCTGTGGAGGGGAATATGGTCTCTGGCTCTGCCGTTTGCCGGCTGAGTGACTTGGGCCTGGCCTTCAGCCCCTGGCCCTGGGGCTGCCTGTCCATCAGGAAGGACCCRTGATGATAAGAGCTGCCCTGGGGCCCCCGGCTCACTGTGCCGCAGGTGCCCCCAGGGCTTCCGTGCTGGCCTGCCCCCTGGAGGGAAGAGGCTCTGGGTGGACGCAGGTCACTGGGCGCTCAGCTGTGGCGAGGGGGCCAGGGGGTCGTGGGGAGGTAGTGAGTGTTCAGGTGCTGTGTGTGCCAGGCCCGGGGGAGGGAGCGGAGCCTGTCTCTCTGCAGATGCCCGGAGGGGGGGAGGCTGGTGGCAGGAAGACGGGCAGGAAGGGACCTCTGCCCACATCCCTGCAGGCCGGTCTCGGGTCTCCGCCGGTCTGGGCTGCTGCTCAGTGGCTGGCCCCTGAGGGCAGATCCGCCAGGAGCGTGAGCCCTGAGCTGTGGCCTTGCCTGCTTTCAAAGGCCACCTCCACCCACACTCGGCTGGAGCCTGCTGGGCCTCCTGGGGGCTCTGAGCAGATGTCCCRGGCCTCCCTGAGGACAGTTCAGAACGGCCTCCACCCACCATGAGTCTCAGCCTCTGGGGCTGAGGAGCTCTGGCCCCTGGACCCACTCTGCCACCCCCAGCTCCTGAGGCGGGGTCTTYGTTTGCTCCCTGCTGACCCCCTGCCCTCCCCATGCCGGGGATGGCACCTGGCCCATCCAGGCTCAGAAAGCCACTTGCTGAACACTGAGGCAGAGTGTGCCCTTTCCTGTTGTTTTGTGGCCCTGGGGTCAGCCCTGGCCTTGCTGCGCCAAGTCCCCGCCTGTCACTCAGGTGAGCGGATGAGGCCGGGTCTCTCCGCAGAGACCCCGAGGGGCCGGGCTGCGCCGGGTACCCCCTGCCACATCAGCCCCGCCGACAGGCGCTCGACCCGCCACCTCGGCCCTGACCCTCGGCCCTGTACTTGCAGAAGTCCAGCATCTGCAGGACAGCYGTGCACGCCGGCGTCATCGGGGACGAGAGCGGCGGGTACGTGGACGTGATGCCTGTGGACCAGAAGAAGGCCTACGCAGGCTCGCTCAGGAACGGGGTGCAGTCTGAGAGGTAGGCCGGCCGGGGCCCGTGCCAGGGGCCATCTTGCAGCAGCGCGTGGGCGGAGGCGCCAACTCCACAGGGCAGCAGGCCGAGCCGGGCCCCTGCCCCTTCCCTTCATCTTCCAGGAGCTATCTTTCCGTTCCCAGCTGGGTTCTTGCAGAGTATCTAGAATCTGTAGAAACATCAGATAAGCCCTGATCGCCACTGTCCCCAGGGCCACTGTGGGAACTGGGCGCGCCGTGTGCGTCTTAGACGGGRTCAGCGGGTGGTCACGTCACAGTCACGGAAACCTACACACGACTCGGTCACGTCGGGTTTTATAAGCTCGAGTGACGCCCTTTGGCCCCGACCTGGCCCTGCTGGTCACCAGCTCTGAGCCAGATTTCTCTGGGCCTTGGTGTCCCCACCTGTGAGGTGGGATCCTGGCCGTCCTGACCGCCTCTGTTGGCTGGACCCCTTGAGCCGGGGCCTGTCGGGGGCCGGAGGTGAGACGGGCTCGGGAACCAGCGTTGTGAATTTCCGCCCGTGGGTGCAGGYGGTGACTGTCGCCAGCCCGGGTCGCCGGGTCCACGGCTCCGCCTCCCGGCCCGGCTGGGGCGAAGCCTAATGAAGGGAAATTCCACCGAGCCAGCGGGAGGGAAACGCGGCAGCTGATTAGGTGGAATTTCCTGGCCACGCTGGAAACAAGTCCCCTGACGCCCCTTTGCAGAGTGCTTGGTGTCCCAGTTAGAGCACACAGCCTTCCTGAGTTGGGGTGGCTGGGCTGGTTCCCTCTGCCCTGTGACCTGCGCACATGGCGGCTCCTCCCTCTGGGCTGCGAGGCCCGTGGTCCCAGAGAGCTGAGGCCCCCCGCCAGGGCACAGCCCAGGGTCTCTGCTGGTCTCCAGGTCCCTCCCAGGAGGGGCCCGAGGCTGCCACAGGACGAGCTTGAGGCACCCCGCAGTCTCCCCCGTGGGCCCTGCCGCCCCTTCCCCGCCCTCGTCCTCTGTCCTGGGCCGGAACCGTGGCTGTTCATGCCTGGCTTTCCCGTGCCCCGTGTGCTCGCCCGACAAGGGAGAGAGAGGGTGCTGTCCCCACAGGGGGCAATGCTGTGGRTCTCCAGGGGTCCGCAGGCCACCCRCCTCACATCAGCGGGGAACTTGTCACAGAGCACGTTCCCGATGACCTGCCTGGAGGTGGCCYGGCAGGCTGCCCATTCGGGGTGTGGAGTGCAGGAGGGGACCGTGTGCCTGGCCTGTAGTCAGCAGGCTCACAGCCCCRTCCCCACGGGTTCCACGTCCACCGATCCCACCAGCCACGGGGCAGAAATGTTCCTACTGACCATGGGCGGACTCTTCCCTGGTGTTTCCTCTGAGCAGTGCCGTGCCGCGGCCATTTCTGTACCCATGGAGGTGGTGGACACCTGGACGTCATGTGAGGGACTGAGCAACTCGGGTCAGGGTGTCCGCAGAGGTCCTGGAGCAGTCACCCACCAATGCCAGGAAGGGCGGGGTCTGATGGTCCCCCAGGGCTGCTCCACCGCCTGGCGCGGCCACCGCGTGTCCCAGCTGCTCAGGAGGCTGAGGGAGGAGGATCTTGAGCTCCAGGCCAGCGGGCAGCTTAGTGAGACCCCGTCTCAAAATAAACCATCTTTTTGGAAAGGGAGAGCTGGGCTATGGCTCCGAGAAGACCTCCTGGGTTCAAGCTCGGTACTGCAAAAAAAAAGGTCATCCATTTACGTCCTGGAGCACCCGCAGCTACCAGGACTGACCCAAGGAACCCAGAGCCCAGGAGGACAAGCGCACGCGCCACGTGTGCCAGGCCACAGGCATGTGCCACCCAGTGGCACTGGGGGCCCTGCTCTGCTGTTTGTCAGTGGGGTCCCCTTGAGCAGGTCTCCCTGAGCCTGGTCCTCACCTGAGGATCGGAGGGGACGTGMTGGCTCAGAGACAGTGTGCGGCAGAACCTGGGGCCTGAGGGTGGTCAACCCTAGAGAGGCCACGGTGCTCTCCATAGGGGTCAGCGGCTCCTCATCAGAAGTGGCCTTCAAGAATTCTCTCATGGGATAAAGCAACTTCCAAATGCTCCCCGGTCCCTCTCGCATCTGCCCTGGTAGCACCCGCTCACCTGTGCAAGTGGCCTCCTCCCGGGCAGCCCTGACCATGTCCCAGGTACCCGGGCTCCAGCTGGGAGCCCTTCAGCCAGATCTCTGCCCTCGTGAGGCTTGTGTCTTGTGGGGGACGGGCAATATAGAAGTCAAAACCCCTGTCACCAGACCCAGGGTCACCGTCAGGGAGGGGTGCTGGGGAGCTGAGATCCCAACAGGGTTCAGCCTACTGTCTAGGGTCCTTGGTGACAAGGCCCCAGTGGAGGGTCTGCAGAGATGCCCCCGGTGGCCATGCCTGTCCTCCCTGTGTAGATGGAGCCCCGGCCCCCTGACCTGCAGCCCATCCCCACCTGGGAACATGGGAAGCTATTTTGGAGCCAGAGGGTGGCTTTGTCCCCAATGGCTGCTGAGACCCTGTCAGGATCTCACAAGGTCCCAAGGGAGATGTGCGCATAGGATGTACTGTGACCGCTGTGTGACAAATGGCATTTTAAATTTACATGACCCTTCAGTCGGCACCCAAACCCAGGTGCTCCGGGGAGGAACTCAGCTCCCAGGCGAGGCTGCTGGCTCGGGGCGGTTCTGCTTTCACAATGGCCTTCTTGAGAAGAGGGTTTCCGGAGAGTTGTGACAGGCAGCCGCGGGGAACCCCCTTCTCTCCTACCCAGGGCCGGGGGCAGGAACAAGGGGGTTGGGGGGCCGTGACTCTGGACCCTGCTCGGCCCTGGCTCCCGGGAGAAGCTGGCCTTCCCGATGCACATCGCCCAGGGCTTTCCTTAGACCAGGACCATTTTTAAAGACAGATTTCATAGGAGATGGGGAAACGCACCAACAGTGACGGCGTCCTTGGTCACGCGGTCTTTAAAAACCTAACCAGTGTGCCCAGGTGTATGGGCTGGGCTTTGTCTGACTAGTGAGCCCCTCTGTGCCCGGGGGACATAACAGGGAACAGAAGGGACAGAAGTGCCTGTCTTCAAAGGGCTGGTGTCCACTGTGCAGGGCCAGCAGATGTGAACCGTGAGCCACACACTGGATTCTAAAGTTTCTGGTGACCCTGTGGGAGGTGACAGAGAGAAGAGCGCGGGTACATTTTAGTTACTCCATCTGTCCGTCACCTTCTCGTACTGATACGTAACCAGTAGAAAAGTCACCAGCAAGAAACCTGCATCTTGGGGCTGGGGACATAGCTCAGTGCTTGCCTCGCAAGGCCCTGGTTCAGTCCCCAGCACCTCCATAAAAACAGAAAGAGACCTGCATCTTCTGTTCAGATGTCGGAGACCTGGTCCGTGCCCACCTCGTAACGCAGACCTGCCGCTTAGTCCAGCGGCCACCCATGACCGGCGGACAGCCTGGCTCTGGGCATCTCAAAGGTTGGGCGACTCAAATCTGTTTCTAGGAATTTGAGAAGCAAAAGCCACCGAGCCACTATTTCCAGGGCTGATGGGCCCACGGCTTCGGTGCCAGGCAGGGCCAGGCTGGGGCCTCCCTCCTGTACATCTGATCCCCCGGGGCCTGTGGGCGGGGCTGCCACTGTCCACATCTTATTACAAAGGAAAGGGAAGCCGGGGCAGGTGGTTGGTGGTGCACACCGAACCCCAGGGGCTCAGGAGGCTGAGGCAGGAGGATCGCGAGTTCAAAGCCAGCCTCAGCAACCAGCGAGGGGCTAAGGCAGTCAGTGAGACCCCGTCTCTAAATAAAATTCAAATAGGGCTGGGATGTGGCTCAGTGGTCCAGTGCCCCTGAGTTCAATCCCCGGTACCCACATCCCCMAAAAAAGAAAGAAAAGGGGAGAAAAGTGGTTAAGCAACTTGCCCCAGGTCACGCAGCCAGCAAGGGCGGAGCTGGGCCTGACCTAGGCCACCCAGGGYTCCCGGGCTCTTACCCAGCATGCCCTGCTCCCTCCCTCCACTCAGACCCTCCCCAGGAGGAGCCAGGTGCACTGGATGCTGCTGCAGGTGCYTCTGTCTTTAAAAATGCTTGTCGTAGGGTTGGGCTGCAGCTCCGTGGCGGAGCACTAGCCTGGCATGAGTGAGGCGCTGGGTCCCATCCTCAGCACCACGTGAGATAAACAAATAAGATAAAGCCATTCCGTCCATTTACAACTACAGAAAGTTTTTTGTTGTAAAGGAAATGTGTGCTGTTATTTAAACAGTCAGGCAGAGAACAGAAACCCAGGGTCCTGAAGGCCCCGCAGTGCCCTGTCCGACGACGGCCCATTTACAGCTTGCCCCGAGCGTTTGGAGCAGTGCACACATAGAAACCAAGCAGAGCTGGGGGAGGCACCTGGTGCTGAACTTCCTTCCTCCAAACCGCCTGCACGTCAGTGCGAGCTGGGAGGCTGGCAGACCTGGGCCTGGGGCTTCAGGGTCATTCGTGGGTGCCGGCCATGTGCGGGCTTGTCCTCCCCTGGACAGCACAGGCCCAGGGACGTGGGACTCTGGCTCTTGGCTGCTGAGCACCTGCTACATGCCAGTCGCTGTCCCGCGACTGGAGAGCTGGCTCTGCTCACGTCCGAGGAGGGAGCACCTTCGGGAACTGTTCACAGACAGGAAACTGGGGCTCCGAGACAGGGAGCACCAGGCCCCGCCAGCGGGGTGGCGCCTGTCCCGCCGACTTGCTGTCCCCTCAGCAGAGGTCCRAGGCTCTCAGAGACGAGGCTGGGATCCCTTACAGGAAGGAAGAGTCCATTGCTCACCACGCGTGCGGACGGAGGCACGTGACTGTGCCTATAGACATGTCTGGCTGATCCTGAAGAATGAGAGGGACTTTGCCCTCTGGGAAGCCAGGTGTGCCCCTCCTGCTGTCCTTTTGACACTGGCCCTAGGCAGCGGCCACCTCCAGGACACTCCTGACCCGTCCTTCACAGGCTGTGCCACTCTGTGCCTGCTGTCCTCCTCTCATGTCGTGGTCCCCGGTGGCCAGCTCTTGCCTGGTTAGGGTCCAGAACGCTGGGGGCAGGAAGCCAGTGTCCAGGCTGCTCTCTCACAGGGCCCTTGGCGTCCACCCCTGGCCCTGGCCTTCACGACCCTCATCCTCCTCCCCCGCCACTCCTGAGCGGGACTGACAGCCCACACCCAGCACAGCCACCGTGTGACGTTTTGCTCACACACAAGACTTGTTCCAGGAAGGGGTCACGCCCTTGAGTGGCCGCTGAGAGCGAAGGTGGCTTTCCGAGCCCGGTGCACTGTCCTGCGGTCTCTCGGTGACACRGCGACCCGTGCACAAACCACTCTGGGTGTCCTTGCTCACCGACGTGGTGACGTGGTGGTTGGTCTCTCTTTGTTGTGATGAACAAACCGGAAAGAACATCTTTGCACAAGCGCGAGCACTTCCTGYGCTCTCCTGGCAGACTTCCCACCAGCAGAGTGACCACGGCCACCAAGCGCCTCCTGATGTCACGGGCACCTCTGCAGCATGACCACTCCTCAGTGGCTTTCCACTGCATGGGAACGAAGCCCACCCCTGCCACATGAGGTCCCAGCTGCCCCTGCCCACGTCTTGGGCTGCCCGGTCTCTGCTCTTCCAGCTGGCCCTCCCTTTACTCTGGGAACACACTGAACCATTCCTGCCCCTGGACCTTTGCATCTGCTGTCATCCAATTCTGGGCCCCCTCAACTCCTGTATGAGCTTGTGGCTAGATCCCCTGGTCACGTGGCTCTAAACCCCAACGTCACTGTCCGGGGAAGCTTCCTCCTGAAGTGGCCCTGCTCCCTGAGCTGATCGGTGCCGTTTGCCCCCAGGGTCACCTCTCTCTGGAACTGTTTCTTACCTGTGTTTACTGCTTTTCTCCCCTCGCCAGACTGTGGGCTCCGTGAAGCAAGAACCCGACAGTCCTGTGGACCCCACTCCCCCAGCACTGAGCTCAGCACCTGGCCCGTAGTGGGTTCTCAGTCAACGCTGGTGAATGGTGCCAAGTTGCTGAGTGCAGAGCGGGTTGAAGGAATTTTAACTCCTGTGTCAAAAGCTGTTGGTGGCTCCCAAGAAAGTCGTTCAGTCTCCTCACGTGAAAAGGGGCTGTGGCCGTTTCCCTTCCCCCAGACATGCCGGGCGGGCGCTGGAAGGCAGCCCCAGACATCGGGGTGGCGGACTTGGCGGTCAGGCTGCCGGGGTGTGATTTACCAGACCAGCAAGCCGTCACGCGGGCGGCCTTCCCGGAGCCTCACAGGAGTGGGCCTGAACCGCGGGCCCAGGGCAGGAGGGGACCGGCCCTGCGCAGACAGCCACACTGCCCCCTACTCCTCCTCCAGGGTGGACAGGCATCTAACGGGGAGCCAGGTGGGTCCAGGCCAGGTGTCCGGCCCTGGGCTGGCAGCCGCTCATCTGGACGGCGCCTGCGKGGCCCCTCGTCAGGGTGGTTCAGGCTGACCAGAGCCGCCTGTGCCCACGACTCCCGGCCCACGAGTCGGAGGMCCTGACCCTGGCAGTTCTCCCCGCGGGGTCCACCTGCAGGTCAGAGGAGTACACGACCCTGTTAGGCTTTGGAGACTGGTGACTCGCGCCCCGCACAGCACCTTAGACTTCCATAAGCTGGTGAGGAGGTCGGGCTGGCTGCAGGGCGCCACTCTGCCGTGTGACCTTGGCCTGGCCACAGGGTTTCTTGGTGCCTGGGTGTCCTCCTTGGAGGACAGCCTACCCAGGGGAAGGAGGTGCACTAGGTTGAGGCCCTGGCGGGAGCCTGTTTAGAGCCTGTGCCTTCTCCTACTGTCCTAAGAGCCTGTCCTTCGGGTGGCCGTGATCTGGTGGAAGGTGTGGCAGACACCGAGCGGGGTCCTGGGGTGCGTCCCGCCCAGCAGGCTGGGCCACCAGGATCCCGAGTTGGGCTGAAGCACTTCCAGCCCTGACCTAGATTCGGGCTGGGCTCATCTGCACAGGAAGCGGGGCCTGCCAGGTCCTGACTCATCCGGGCCGCGGGGGTGTCCCTCGTCGCTTGTCCCCCTGGGGGCTGCTCTGCGGAGCCCCTGGCTCTCCTGTCCGCCCGCCCCCTCAGTGACCCCTCTCCCTTCTCTTTCAGCCTGAGCTCGCCCGGGGACGGGAAGGCCTTCCGGATCTTTGCCGTCAGGCAGTGACCGCTCACCACCGGGACACGGGCGTCTGCAGCAGGGCTTCGCGGTTTTCCTTTGGTTTTGACTTTGTCGTCTGGGGTCGGGTGGGGTGGGGGTGCCGAGAGTCGGGGAGCTTCTGTGGATGGCCCTGGCCAGGGTGACTTGGGCCCCCTCCTCTGGAGCCAGGCCTCCCGGGCTGTCTGCTCAGCACTCAGGCCTGGGCCTCCGCTGGGGCCTCTCCCCCTCCAGGGGTCAGTGCCAAGCTGCTCTGGCCACGGTGCCTTTGTGGGTGGAGGGGAGGACCCTGAGCTCTAGACAGACAGAGGGTCCAGGGCTGGAGACKGAGGTGGGGGCGTGGGGCGGTCGGGGAGCAGGCGCAGGGAGTCTGGGAAACGGGGTGTAAAGTAGTTATTTAAAAATAAAAAAGCACAGTCCGTCCCTGACCTGGAGGAAGGTGGGCTTAGTGTTTGCTGGTCAGACAAGTGTGCTGGGCAGGCGGGAGCCTGTGGCTGGCCCTGGAGGCGCCCGCGGCCCGAAGTCCTGGGGGCTGAGAGCTCAGCAGTGCTGGCGCCTGAGACCTCGGGGCCCAGAGGTCTGTGTCCYCGCTGCCTCCTCCCTGTGGCCCGTCTGTTTTCCGCTGTGACCTTTGGTCTCGTTGAGGACTGATGACCCTCTGCCCGGCCTCCACCGCCCCTGGCTGGCCTTGGGGCTCTCTCTGGCAGGCAGTCCCGCGGGGCCACTTCTCTGAACTCCAGGCTGGGCACCACTTCTTAAATGACCGTGCGACAGGCCGGCCCCCATCTTCACTGACCTATTAAAAAATAGGTCAGCAGGGGAGGAACGGATTCCTGGGCACCTTCCTCACCGGGGTTAGCGGCTCTGCTTGTGGCCACGACCCCACCCGGCCGTGGACAGCAGAGGGACGGCAGGGCCCGGAGGTGCCTCCTTTCCAGTTTCTGTGGGGCGCGTCCTGCCAGAGGTCCCCAGGCTCCCGGGGGTGTGGGGCGCGGGCGTCCATCACTTGTAAAAGGTCTTCCTCAACCAGGCCGGCAGCCCTCGGAGAAACGAAATCCCCTTCTCAGCAGAAGGTGAAATCCCAGCCCTGGCAGCAGGCCGGCCGGCCGGCGCCTCACTTTTGTGAGCTCTGGTTGCAAATTTGACTCCGCTCTCCATCAAAATAGGTCCTAGGCAAAATGACGGGCAGAAAGTTTAAAAATAAAATCCCTCTGCCTGGGGACCCGGGCGCCTCTCCTGTTTCCTAATTAATGCGGAGACTGAAGGTTAAGGATCAGGACGCCCTCGGGGGTCTGTAAGAGCAGTCGGACCCGTGGCGGACACGCGGCACCTGGCCCGTGTCTCCCTCTGCCCTTGTGGGTGCCAACCCTTCCACCCCACATGGCGCAGGGAGGGGGCTGTCAGCCTGTTGGGTAGAAGTCTAGATCCCACCTGGCACCTGGGGACCTGGCGATGCAAGGTGTGCCCTGCCCGCTGGCTGCGGCGGGGTCACCGCTGCAGGACAGTCGGATCGCTGGCTGGGTCTTGGACCCTCCCGGGGGACCCGGTGGTTGGCTTCTGGGGTGTCCCCCCCGGGAGTGGAGCTTCCAGTGTGACGGGCCCCACAGCCCTGGGCCCCCTCCTGCCTCCTGGGCCACACCKGGCCGTCTTCTTCCCCAGGACCATTTGAAACTGGAACCATTTCCTTCCCCAGAAAATGGGAATAATACACAAAGGAAAAGCCCCTGTGGTCGGGGACCACCTCTACCTGCGGTCAGCAGTGCCCAGTGCCTTCCGCACAGCCGTGCCCGGGAGACGGTGCCCAGCCAGGGCATCGCTGGGCCTCCTGCCCCACCAACGTCTGCACTGGCTTCAGACTCTCGCCCCCTGTGCTCCGGGGGCAGCGGGCCCCCTATTATCTGTAGGCTCACGCAGCCCGCAGTTGACGTGTGTGCTTTTTTCTATGAAAAACGATGTATTTTACTACTTCCTGTGTACAAAAGTTCATTGTGAATGTCTTCTGTGCTTTGCRTGAACACGGGCCACGGTGTTGTTGCTGTTATTTCAATAAAAACTGGTTTGATTTCTAAGTCGCCTGTGTCCCACTTTAGGGACGAGTCTGATCAATACGCGTCCACGACCCCTTGCAGCCCTCCGCGGTCCAGGTGCGCCAGTTCCTGGGGGCTGTGCCCAGCTGCTCTTCTGTCCCCAAGCCCGGCCGAGACCCCTCTGGACTGTGGTTTGCCAAAGTGCAGACTGGGCAGGGCCTGTGGCTGCCTCCCGGAGGCTCCAGAGGTGCCGGTGCTGCAGCCCCAGGTCCCAGGGGACGGGCTCAAGTTCCTGTGGTCTCCACCTCACCACGTCCCACTGCCTGGGGGGACTTGAGCTCACAGTTCATCTTCACCGTCCTGGAGGCCCAAGGTCATGGTGTCGCCAGGCCTGGGTTCGCAGGTGGCCACCTTCTCTGTCCTCCATGGCCTTTCCTCAGTGCTCACACCCGGGGTCCCCCTCTCTTTGCCCACCCTGTGACCCATGTAACCTTAACTGCTCCTTAAAGGCCCAGTCCAGATGCAGTCACCTTGGGGGCCGGGGCTCCCTAGGGGACATTTGGAGAGAACATGATCGGCTCATGACAGAGACCTTCTTCACAGCCCAGAGACGGCCCCCGCCTGCCTCCTGCCTCTGGGAGGGGCGTCCTGCCCCAGGACCCCAGGACCTTCAGCCCTGAGCACTGTGCAGGTGTCCCAGGAGGAGGTGACAGAATTCCTCTTAGGGCTGAGTGCCACTGCACCTGGGTGACACCCACCAGCAGAGGGCCCTCCAAGGTGACTGAGGGACAGGGAGCCAGGACTGGACGTCCCTGGTCACCTCTGCCTCTGACCAGCAGGGGTGCCTTTGGCGAGAGCTCCTCCTGGGGTGGAGGGTCCCTGCAGGAGGGCGAGAGGCGCTGAGCCACGTGTGCAAGGCCCGGCACTGGGACCTGCTGTTCTCACTGGCCAGGAGCCCAGGCTGCAGAGGACGGTCGGCTCAGCCCTGCAGAGGTCTCCTGTGGCCCCGGGCAGCCTCCCTGGGCCTGGCCACAGGTGCAGATTCTCAGGCGCCATGGCGGCGTCCCTCTGGGGACCAGCCCCCACACCCTCAGAGGCTGCAGAGGGCTCCAGACCCGGCCCTTCCTGGATGGTGGTTGGGTTTTGAATGTCTGCCCTCCCTCTCCTGCCCCAAGCCTGCCCTGGACTGCCTCGGGGCTTCAGAAGTCTCAGGCTCTTAAAAACACATTTGGTGGCCAAGGGCCTGGGTTGTGAAATATCAGTGACATTCCTCTTCCCTTCATCGCGGCCAAGTGGACTGGCAGCGTCCTCGCCCAAACCAGCTCATGGCCCTCATGCCCAGCCCATCTCCAGGGGCACCGCACCTCGCTGGCACCTTCTGGCCAGCCTTCAGTCCACCACATCAGGGAGAGCCAAACTCTGAAGGACATCCCCCACCCCCTGTCACCAGCCCCAGCCTGACTCAGGAAAGCAGGAAAAGGAGTTCACCTATGCCAGGTGCCACCACCTGGCACTGAGCGTGACATCTCACGTCTTTTGGTGACTTGCTGTTTCCCGGAGGCAAATTCAAGTGTGTGTCAAAGTGGCAGTCCGGAGCGCACTGTCGGCAGGTGACAGACAGCAGCCACYGTGGGGTCGGGGCAGTGCCAGCCTCCAGGCTCCGCCCCACGCTGCGCCTCCGACCAGTCAGGAAGGGGCACCTGGTGAGGGGCCAGAGGCAGCTGCTGAACTCCGTCCCTCTCTGCGCTCCAGGATTCCCCTTGGGTCCATTTTCTAATTCTCCATAACATTTCCAATTTCTTAAAACGACCTCTTTGGAAGATGCCTCCCGGCGCCTCAGTATAGGGCCCGACAGCTGATTCTGCCTCTGGGTCCTCCGGGGTCTGGTGGCCCTTTCTCTTGAGCAGTGGCAGCAAACTTCTTAAGGACCCCACTAATAACCAGCTCAGGCCCCTCCCCACCATGACGTCGCTGTGGAGCGCGAGGCCGCGGCTGGGTGCGGGTGATGCTCGGGGCCTCTGGGACGCGGCGAGTCTGCGTTTGAGACTCGCTGTGGTTCTGCTTCAGCAGGACACTGAGTGGGCTGGGTCCAAGCCCTAAATCCTGTTCCATGGCAGTGGCCGCTGCTTCGGCCCCTATGCTATCTGTCACCTGGCTGGACCACGTGGAGCCCGCCTGCCATCCGGCCCAGGGGGCAGCCAGGGCTGTGGGCAGGGCTGGCCCACCGGAGCCTCGGTTTCTAAGTGTCCATCAGTTTTGCACCACTGTGACAAAGGACCTGAGATAACCCACTCATGAAGACGAACAGTTCATTTTGGCTCAGGTTTTTGGAGGTTTCAGGCCACGTGGGCTGGTCCTGTTGCTAGGGCCCGTGGTGAGGCAGAATGCCATGTTGGAAGGACACAGAAGGCGGAGGGGAAGGGCTGGGGCCCCGGGGATGGCCGGGCTCCCTTCCCCAGGCCCCACCTGCTGAAGTCCCCACCACCTGAGTGGAACCTCGGCTGGGGATGAGCCCCCACAGGTAGGCCTCTGGGGGACGCTCACCCAAACCGTAGGCCATGACCTCTCCTTCCGCAGCCTCACTGSTGTGACCCGGTCCTTGGGACCACGGGCTCTGACGGACACTTAGCCAAGCCCCTGTGGCACCAACTGGGGACTCAGGGTGTCGCCCCTTCTCTCGGGGTTGACACCCCTGTTTCTGCCTGCCGAGTTGCTCTCAGGGACCGTAGGTGGCTGCCTTTTCCGTCTCRAGCAGAGGCTGGTCTGACGGAGGCCACTTGGCCATCACTGGACGCAGAACCCCCGAGGCTACAACTTTGGGGAAAACGCAGAGCCACGGTTTTCTAAAAGTCTCGGCCAGTAATTTGCACTGGCCCCTGTGGTCAGAACGGCCCCTCGGCTGCTCCTAGCTGCAAGGGAGCTTGGGGGGGGGAGCGAGTGTCCCTGCCAGGGGACGCGGCTCCCACGGAGGGGCTCAAGGTGAGGAAGGGCCCTGGGTGGGCCCAGGGTGGTTTAACCGAGAACCTATGGCAGGGTCTCAATTCTCAGGGCTACTGGGACAAGTGACCATGAATCTGGTGGCCTGAGACATCAGGAAGTGTCCTCTCACTGTTCTGGAGGCCAGGGGTCCAAAACCAAGGTGGGGTGGGGGCGTCCACCCTGGGGCTCTGGGGAGGCCCTCTGCTCCCGTCTCCGCCGGGCCCTCTGTCCCTGGCCGCTGTCCTTTCCCTTCTTATCAGGACACGTCGTTGGAGTTGGGACTGACCACCCTAAATCCCAGGATCGTCTCACCCCGAGAACCTTAACCAGTCACATGGCCAAGACCCTGCTTCCAGAATGAGGTCACATTCTAGGCTCCAGGAGGACATCACGTGTGGGACACGTTCCCGCCCAAGGAGAGAGGCGCACACGTCCCTGGGGCCAGCAGTGGCCTGGCCTGGCCGTCCTCCTCCTGGGCCCGCGGGTCCTCTCTCTGGGCTGGCACACCCTGGGGCCTGGGCCTGTTCCAGCCCTCGCTCCCTTTCCAGCCCCCCGAGGTCTGAAACCCCAAAATCTTCCTCATAGTTATTCCTCCTCGGAGGCCCAGAGAGGACCCCGGAGACGCCGCCCTGAGCAGACCCTCC